TTCTTTGGATAGCTTGTTGAGAGTTTTGAAGTTGAGATGACTCAACCTCTTATGCCAAAGCCATAGAAGGTTAGTGTCACCTTTGCTGATTAGACATGCTTCCTTGACATCGTTCCATATCACTTCATAGATGTTTCTGATTCTCTTCCCAGTGAGAATGACTTCATTTGTGGAGATGTTCTTGAGAGATGCCATGTCCTTGCAGAATTCCAAGGAGTAACCTTTATCACAAAACTGACTTATGCTAACAAGGTTATAATTGAGTCCTTCAACATAAGATACAGCTTGGATGGTTAGTCCCTTGTACACAAGATTTCCTAGTCCTTTAGTAAGGCCAAAATCGTTGCTTCCTCCAAAAGTAACTCTTGGACCATCATAGGGAATTAGATTGCTCAAAAGGCTCGCATCACCCGTCATGTGTCTTGAACAGCCACTGTCTAAGTACCAGACACCTGGGTACTTAGTGGCTTCTTGCATTAGGAGGAGGAAGATTTTGGTACCCAATTCAGTTTGGGTCCGGAATAGTTAATGGTGTGTGTCCCTACATCAAGTTTGAAGTTGCAGGAATTTTTCCTTGCAGCTCTAAACTTGTTGGGATTGTAATCATAGTTGTAGGCATAAAACTTCCTACGTGCAGGAGGTGCAATTTCCTGTTTCCTCCTAGCAAACCTAGGTTGATAAGACCTATAGTTTTGTCTAGGTTGTGCATAGTGTGACCTGTGTTGGTTATAAGCATACTTAGGTGGCACAAATAGTTTCTGAGGTGGAGGATGACTATATCTTGGCATAGTTCTCCACTCAGAATTTCTCGGAAAACTCCTATCTACCCCATAATGAGTATAGCCTCGTGTATATTGGGGGTTAGAAGGTTTTCTTATGAAATTGTTTCCTTTTTGAGGTCTGTCCAGCTTCCTATAGTTCTTAGGAGGGACTACCTTTTTGGGAACTTCTGTTGGTTTCTCCTTTTCCTTCCCTTTCTGCTTATTTGGTTTGGCAGTAGGTTTAGGAGGGATGAAAGTTGTTTTCCCTTTCCTTTTGGAACTAGAGGGGTCAAACCCAAGTCCTTTGCGACCCTTATGTTTGGTCGTTTCAAGAAGCTTGTTCACTGCTTCTTTGGACTTAAGTATCCCTAGCTCTTTGTTAAGGGATTTCACCTTTTCAGAGAGAGATTCATTTTCAGTCTTGAGTTGAGTGATCTAATTCAGTTGACTTTTCCAACTTTCAGTCAACTTGAGATTCTCTTCACTCAATAGTTTGTTCTCTTCTGTTAAGGATGAGTGTTTGAGATTTATCTCCTCAAAATCTTTCATCATCGTTTTGAACTGGTCAAAAAGATTTTCACAAGTTGGTATACTATAAGAAGATGAGCAGGAGGTTTGTGAGCTTACCTCTTGATCAGCATCATCTTTGGCCATTAGGCAGAGAGTGTCATCTTCTGACATAGTCCACCTATCCTCATGGTTGGACTTTTCAACTCTGCGCTCCATGCAGACAAGGGCTTCTTCATCCGAGCTTGAGCTGGATGACTCGTCACTTTCAGCAGCAACCATTGCTTTCTTTTTCTTCTCATTCCTTTCTCTTTCTCCGTACTTCTCCACCTTTGGGTACGGGCATGCTGGCTTCCAGTGGCCAGGCTTCCTGCAGTTATAGCATAAATAAGATTCAGGAGGGGAGTCACTTACTTGTGGCTTTCCCTTGGATGGCCTTCTGACTGAATCAGCCTTCTTGAAGAACTTCTTGAACTTCCGGAATTGCTTGACCATCATGGCAAATTCCTCATCGTAGTTCTCCATTTTTGAGCTTGACGGCTGGCTGGAGGAAGGTGTGTCACAGTTTCTTGTGCATGTCCCTTCACTTGATGGGATTCTTGGAGTTGTCATCAATGCTGTGGGGAAGGGAGTGACTTGTTCTTCCTTCTTCTTCTTCAGCTCGTGCTCATAGGTTCTGAGTTCATCAAGGAGACCTTGAACAGTGTAGTTCTCCAGGTTTCTTCCTTCTTCCATGGCTGTGGCTTTGGTTTACCACTCAGTTGAAAGTGATCTCAGCAACCTTACATTCTTTTCTTTGGGAGAAAGAATGTGGTTAAGTGAAGCAAGATCATTCAATATCTTGTGGAATCTTTCATCCAACATATCAAATGATTCTCCAGGAAGCATTTTGAAGCTTTTGAACTTCTCAAGCAGGACTTCTATCTTCTGCTTTCTCAGGTCCTCTGATCCCTCACATAGCTTCCCAAGACCTTGCCAAATCTCCATGGCAGTCTTGAGATGCTTAATCTTGGACAAGGTGATGGGATCAAGTGTCTTGAAGATGGCTGCTTTGGCGACGTTGTCCAGATTGTGCTTTTTGCAATCTCTATCATCCCATTTTTCCTTGGGCTTTGGAATGTACTGGACTACATCTGGAGCAGCTGGATTCCTCTCAGGGTTCTCCATTTGGATTTTCAAGGGTCCATCCTCAAGCACCATCCACATGCAATCATGTAGAGCGTAGAGATGTGCTTCCATCATGATCTTCCAATCATCATAACCTAGAAGAGAAAACTTGGGCAAACCGTGATCCATATTGTTCACCATTATGATCGCTTCTCGTTAATCTAAAAGTAGATAGTGAGAAGTA